TCAGCAGCAGCAGCAGCAGCAACGGCGGCGTTTCTCACAGAGGCAGACGAGCTGCACCCCCCAGTGCGTGGAGCCTGCTGCCATCTGTGCCTCTCGTGAATTGCGTCCTAAGAGGTCTTTAACTACCCAGCAGGTGGCCAGTCGGCACCTTGGTAACCAGCGGGGTCAAGGAAGCGGAGGCCGTACCCCTTGGCTACCTCTGCACAGCTCGCAAGTTGTTGCTGCACACTGGAGCGAACCGCTTCTCCTTCTATCTACACGTACACAACTAATCCTCTTGGATGCACTACATCTCTCGGAGGAAACTGCTCGTCTCCTGCAGGACAAACCCTTAGGCAGCATCGATGTCGCAGCTCTCCTCGCTCTACCCGCCACCCCTGGGCCCCCTGAACCCTCCACAACACCGCATCCACAGACGTGCCAAAATGACGCGCAAGAGCCGCAACAGCAGATGCAGCTGCCGGAGCAAGTGCAGCAACTGCAACACCTTCCAGTCGACGGATCCTCCATCGTCGTTACAGGAGGCCGTTGTTGCGTAGGAGGAGAGCTCCGGCTCTGGCAATTTCACCCCCTATCGCGATCAAGTGCGGAAAGCCCCAAATGCCACTATCTGCACTCGGTACATGCACTGTATGCACTACATGCCCTATAGCCGCACACCAATTAGGCATGAAGGTGGGGGATTCGCCTTCTCGCTTGATGCATATTTCGTTCAACTCTTTGCACATCCGCCTGCCCCTTCAAAGTTGCGTTGCGCATGGCTACACGCCACTGTCGTAGTTCATGCGTTCTTCCGCATGCTGCAGCTTTCCCCTTCTACCTCAAGTCGTCCGTCACAGCGGTTGCTGCTGCAGCAACGCGAGGAGCCGCCCAAGGCCTCGTTGCTGCAGGGACAGAGGAGGGGACGGTCATTCTGTTGGCTTTGTTGCGAAACGGCGAAGGCATCCTCGAGCCGCCGTTGGTGTCGTTAGACCGACAAATCAGCCCGCGTGAGTAGCATGGACAGACAGGGCATTGAATACTGCCAAAACATTGTAAAGAAAGAATTCACTTTCACGTCTGCTCAGAGTTGTAGGCACGCAGCTGCTGCTGGTGTAAGGTGCTTCTGATATCTTTTTCAGGATGTATTTCTGCTTTGGCCGTGGATGGGGGGAGAGGAATTTTGGCTGTCGCGAGTACAGCGGGTCACGTTAGCTGTTTTCGCCTAATCTCTCTCCCGTATCAACTTGGAGAGAGAGGGACTGCCGACGCTGCTTGCTCTACTAACAGTCTTCTGGGTAGCCGGGGCCCCTGTGACGATTATTTGAGTAGCTACAAGCCGGCCTCCTTCCTCCTGGATATGGAACTCCTGGCTACCCTCCATGTGCCCTTCGCTACACCCCCTAAGCTCCTTCAGTTTGGACAGACTTCTGTCTATCAGGTATACCCCAGAAGACCCTGGGGTTTCATTGATTGAGATCGCTGCAGATACTCACAAACAGGATCAACGTTGGTTGGAGTAGTTGTAGCGGACACACTGCTCTTCGAAAGCAGTTGCAGCCGTGCCACAGAAGAATTTGTCCAGTTGCGAGCAGACGAANGGACACACTGCTCTTCGAAAGCAGTTGCAGCCGTGCCACAGAAGAATTTGTCCAGTTGCGAGCAGACGAACTCGCACTGCATGCGCTGGTCTTGCGTGTTGGCATGGGACTCAGGATCAGCTTCTCGTTACCGGTCCGAATGCCCCGCCAAGCGTCTTCTCCATTCCAGAGGGCCGCCTGCTCGTCAGCTCCTTGACAGAGGTGTATTTCCCAGACCAGACACCGCACGCAGTTGAATTAGCAGTAGACTGGTCCACAGAACGAAACTAACTTCGTGTGATTTCAGATCGGGTGCGCAGGATGCCAAGGCCCTTGACTCCTTCGTCCCTCTGTCGCTACCCGCGCCCCTCGTCCTAGGACCGGAAGGATCCTCACGTTATTCTGATGATGCTCTGCACACTGTCCTGCATGAAACCTTCGCCAGAGGGAGTGTAAGCAGACGCGATACTCCCCTAGCCCAAATGTCCGAGGAACGTTGCTGTTAAAGCGTGCCGTGAGGATAGCTGGNAGACGCGATACTCCCCTAGCCCAAATGTCCGAGGAACGTTGCTGTTAAAGCGTGCCGTGAGGATAGCTGGATAGCTGGCTGCACCTGCACTTCCTGAAACATTGTTTTGCAGTTTGACAGGCGCTTGCCAAACTTGATAGTGATCGAGACTCTCTTGCAACAAGACTATCTGCTGCTGTTGCATGGTTGAGGAATTCCGCACGGGGTCATTCCAGCAGCATCCGAATGTGTTGTTTGCACAGAGGAATCTGCGTGTGCTGCCGGCGCCAATACTCGTGACGGCATCCATCGGATCAAGCAAATTATGTTTAGCGTACGAAAGCGAGCGACGAATTTTGCTGGGGATGCAGGTTTCATCCCTTATATCAAAGCAGGAGCCGGTGTCCCAGCAACTGATTCAGGAGGCTCGAAACGCCACAACTCATGGGACGGAAGACGTGAGGACAGAGAACTTCGCGTGCAGTAATCAGCAAAAGCCTTCTCAGGCTTCAAGGTTTCATAGAGGAGCCGGGCTCGCGAGCCTGTTTCGTGACCTTGGACGAGTCCCAGTCTCGGAGTCAACCATGTCCGCTGCTGTAACAGACGCCTCGAAGCAGTGCCATCCCAAGCTAAGCTGGAACTCTGAAACACCTTCAGAACCATTCGGGGTGAAACGCTTGGAAGATGTAATCATTCAATTTGCCTCTGTGAAGTTGCCACATGCTTCCGCACCAACTGCACTCCTCTACTACATAGGGTTGGATCCTTATGAGGCTGCTTGCTCAGAAATAGGAGTCAGCCAACGTAATCAATCTGTCAATTTCCTCTCCCTTGCAGCAGAGGGATACAT